ATTGGCTGGTGCAGTGGTTCGCTCACAGCGACGTATAATTTTAACCTTTGTCAATCGTTGTCAGCGGGCCGCCAGAGCATTGTGTTTTTACCAATTTATTTATTTCCAGTTACATATACTATTTGAGTACTTACCAGGTTTTATAATTGTTCGCTCGCTTGTTGACAATATTAGTTAATAAATATGGCAGTTTACAAAAATAATTGAAAATTACCAAAAAAATAAAGTAGCCGCAAAAAGTAGTTCACAATTTGAGAAAGTGAAATAAAGAACGATTATTTTAGCATTTAGAAAAATGAAAGTTTAATTCAAGCTAGACTATTAAAAAAAAATTACATATTTACAGAAATCGAATAGAATACATATAAAATTTAATCACAAAATTGAAAAATATAAATAACAAGCAAACTTTTTTTCTAACATAAAGTGACGGGACGAACAAGTCGTGCGCGTGATGGTAAGCTACACGACAGCCTGTCCATAATAGTTACATTGCCACCATTGACTTACAATTATATGGACGTCGGGTCCGCGCTAAAAAGTGTCCGCACTTGTAAGGCGCTAAAATCGTATACAGAGCGCGACACTCCGCTTTAGTCTTCATTTGTTTTACGGACAGCGCGATACTGCGATGACATAACAATTTAAATTTCGAATAGGTTGACTTGGGACATTTTTTTCGTGGTTTTTGTATTAGACCCGTCGTCCATTTATTTGTAAGTCAATGATTGCCACTCAGAGCTTTAAATTGCAAAGATCTGAGGGGCACTACCACTGCGCCCGTCACCATGAGACAAGTTGACAAGTCCTATGTGCCTGTAATTTCTTCAGCACCCTTACCCTTCAAAACCGGAACACAGTAATGTTGACATTACTGCTTGGCGGCAGAAATAGGTAAGGTGGCAGTACTACCCTGGACGAACTCTTATTTTCAATAATCCACTAGAATACTTATGCATTATTATGTATGTCTCAAAGTTTGTTTAACATTACAATAATATATTATAACCTTGATTTGACGCTGCAACTAGGAGAGTCTGTAATATATCCAACTCCTCGATTACCGTATGGGCTCATTAAATTGGTCTCAATGAGTTGTTCGTTTACAAATGATACCTTTATTGTTGTTTGGAGTACACTATTTTGTACACGGGCTTTTTAAATTTTAATTTATATTTTCAGTTAGATTCTTAGTTTGGTTTATTGTTTGTTTGTTAATAATAACAAATAAATCTTTACTTTTTTTATATCACCATTCGAGACGCCTATCCATAACAGTTGCAGTGCCACTCAGAGCTTTTAATCGCAAAATTCTTAGGGGCACTGCCACTGTACCCGTCACCTTGAGGCATAAAGTGACAAATCCTATGTGTCTATAATTTCACCGGGACCCTTACCCTTCGAAGCCGGAACGCAGTAATGCTCACATTACCGCTTGGCGGCTGAAATAGGTAAGGTGGCAGTACTTCCCTGGACGAAAGAGCTCTACTGCTACTAAAAATATTAATAAGCATCGAATAACCGCTCACGCGATGCGCTCCTCCTACCGCAAAATGGCGGCTATTTGGGTTCGCAAATTAGAAAAGCATTCAGTTTAAATACAAGTTTTTATAAATAAAAATTATTATTCTGCATTGCTAAATAAATACCCGTCGTACTACCAACAAAAACATCTCAAATAAAATGCAGTAATGCATCGCAAATCCTGCACTTATAAAGCACTAATGAAATTTTTGGTGTACTTGGATAAATATGATAATATTCCGATTGAGTGGTTCTAACGTTTACTATGAAATTATTCCTTAAAGTATAGTTTATAAACATTTATATTCAGGGTAAACTTAAAAAACGCTACTTACGGTATCTTTTCAATAAATAAACACCGATATCACCAGCCCAAACAATAACACACACGATTGTCGTGACGTATTTTTGAAGTAGTTTATTTTTTTTAAATGACAGACCCAGGCATTAAAAACTTTATGGTTTGCTAGAGTAGTTACCGAAGTAGCAATTAATATTAGTTTTTTTACCTGTTATAACTTCGATATCCGATAAATCGGTATAAAATCATCACCGGCAACTCTAGGTGTGGTATGCGTCTACGGCTGCATGTATCGCGTGAGCGGATAACTTTACAGTACGTTGTAGTTCCTTATTAAAATCTATCGTAATTCTGTTTTTCATTATGATAAGCCTGGTACTCATTAGTGAGCTGTAACTGTAACGTTACAGATACAATAACGAGGTACTAGTGTGTACTCGTGAAACAGTCTTCACTCGCTAGAACGAGTACCTGGTTATCGTGTCGGCTCACTGCGAACCGCACGCGTTCCGCTGGCGGTAACTCGCGAACCACGTACACACTATGATTTTTGGTAACATAACATGCAACGGTTACGTTTTGAACTCGCTAGTGAGTACCCGTCTTTATTGTACTTTAATTGTCGACAAAGGATCTAAATAAATGTCTATGTATAATAAATTACAATACATAATGAAATAAACACGCGGTAATGTACGTCACCCGCCACTTAAGCTGTGGGATATGTCACACGCCATGAGATATTTCAAATGTGTGGCAGTGAAACACAGTAGGACGTACGTCGTTATTCCATCACGAACCTCTTTATTCTCTGAATGGCAGGTCGTGCGTAATATCCCACGCACGTGGCAAAGCTGTATCCATGTATATCGCAAAGTACGAACTCAAACAGGTGCAGTCTTATGGGATCTATTTTAAAGTTTACTGTCCATATTGTACGCTAAAATCTTCTTCTTCTTCAAGTGCCTCTCCATTATTGGAGGCCGGAAATCAGTTTTTTATATCTTTCTTTGTCTAGAGCTAGCCTGAACAGTTGTTCCACGGTCTTGATGGTCAACTCCCTGATGTTAAGAACCATGACATTTTCCTTCTTCCAACCTTCCGCTTCCCAGCTACTCTGCCCATCATCATAGAGTGCAATAGGTGATATCTGTCATGTCGCAGTGCATGATCCAAATAGACAACCTTCCGCTGCTTGACAATGCGTACCAACTCCACCTTCTTCACCATACGTCAAAGGACCTCAACATTTGTGACTTTGTTCATCCAACGGATGCGGAGCATTCAGCGATAGCACCACGTTTCGAACGCTTCAAGTTTCTTCCTGAGGTCTTCTTTTATGGTCCGTGAGTCGCATCTACAAAGAATGACTGGTGAAAGAATGAATGACAGATGTAACACTGCAAGAGCCTAGTGCGGAGTTTAATAGATAGCTGCCGGCTGCTTAAAACTTTCCTCATTGTTTCAAAAAATGCCCGGACAGATACGCACACAGATCTCGGTATTTTCCCAAGAGTCTTTTAGCCACGATCCAAGGTATTTATATTTTTGGACTCTCTCCACACTGTTAGTTCCGACCAGTATAGTCGAGTGAGGTTTGGGTCCACACATGACAGCCATGAACTTAGTCTTAGATACATTCATCTTGAGTCCCATTTTTCTGCTGCTTTCGTATATTCGGGAGACAATGTCTTGGAAGCCTTCTTGAGTGGAAGCTATTAAGACAGTATCGTCAGCATACCGTAGGTTGCTAACCATCTCACCGTTGACGACGATTCTTGCCTCCACGTTTTCCAGAGCTTCTTGTATAATTGCTTCTGAGTACAAATTGAAGAGAAGTGGATATAAAATCCATCCATGTCGTACGCCTCGCTTCCGTTTCTTCTCCATCTACTCTTACTGACGCTGTTTGCCTCCAATACAAGTTTTGGATCAAGCGTATGTCCTTGCTGTCTAAACCAGTATTCCTCGAGGTGTCGAATAAGCTCCGATCTTCGCATTTGACCCTTATGTGGTTATGAATTATGGCTAAAAAGGTTTTCAAAGCATGGCTCATGAGATTTATGGTACGAAAATCCTGGCATTTCTTCTTAGGAAGTGTGACAAAGGTGGAAATCAACCAGTCGTCAGATATGTCACCAGAGTTGTATATGTGTTTGAAAAGGTCTACAAGGATGTCTACGTTTTCTAATTCTAGAAGTTGCAATACCTCAATATTGTTCTTATCTAGGCCAGGCGCTTTTCCAGTCCTTGCTTTTTGTAAAGCGTTGAGCACCGCTGACTTCAGCATTCGATCTAACAGAACACGTCAAGACTTGTCGCTAAAAAATTCTTGTAAATTTTGCACCCATCTTTGATCTTTTTGATCTTTCTTCTTTTGAGGATCTAGAATTATTTTACCTGCTTCATTTACCAAAAAAGTTTGTTGGCGTTTCTTGTGCAAACCGGCCATGTCCTTGATTTCCTTGCGGAGATTAAAGAAATCGTGTTTCTTCATCAAGGACTCTTTATTACTTCTCTTTATACATATTCGTGACGATCGTCGTACCACTTTTTCCTGACATTATGAGATAATCGTCGAATTTTCTTATCAAGGGCTTTGTATTTCTTCTTGTCTGAATGTTTGCAGAGACGACGTTCTTGAATAAGTTTCACGACCTCATCGGTTGTTCATAATTCTTTCTTGGGTAATCGTGATGAACTCAAAATCTGTGTATTAATTTGAGCTATCCTGCTTTTAAGATTTGGCCAAATGGTTTTAGCTTCTGAGGATGATTTGCGATGTTCAACTGCCCATTCATTAATCTGGTTATGCGCTCCATTTAACCTCGCTCAAGCCCTTTATCTCAGTCGCCAACCGATCCCTTTCTATAACTACGTTAACGACTTTCTCCTGCCTCCTCAATCCTCTCACGTTCCATATTCCTATCCAAAATTTTTGATTTTGTTGCCCCCCGGGGAATCTTCGCACCCCTGTTCCATTGGAGGAACGCTGGGAACTCGGGGCCGTTATATTATTTATGCTTACTTCCATTAAAACTGAGTAACAAGGGAAATAAAATGACGGTAGTTTCCTGTTGCTTTCCGTCATAGATCTTTTCGAGGGTATTTGGCCCCCTAGGCTTCTAAACCTCTTCCAGCCTGTCAGCCACCCGGCTGATAGGCTGGAAGAGATATGGTTATCCCGCCATTGCTCTGTCGCCAGAGCTTCGTCTGTTATCCAGCAGGGAGAACCACGACTGCCGTGGGCCCGCCGCAGCCGGCTAATCGTATGAATTACCCACGCGTGTAGGTGAGGTTGACATTAGGGCCGAATAAGATCTTGTTAAGGGGAGATCCCTTACTCCCCGCTAAAATATAACGCATCCATTTTTTTCAGAAATTCCAAGACTATCAAAGGACGATAACACAGAATTTATTAATCAAGAAAAAGCACAAATTATAGACTCACAGATTGATTCTTGTGTAAAGCAACAAAATAACACCCCGATAATATATTTTAAAGCACAATTAATAGACTCACAGATTGATTCTGGTGTTACGCAACAAAATAACACCCCTATAATATATTTTCAACCAGAAATTAATGAAAGTTTCTGGTATTATGAAAATAAATCTTACAGGTTAGAATGTGTGGCGAAAAACCTAAGATCACGGGAATTATTAATTCTCACCGGTAAGTGTCGTATATCTATAGCAAGTATAATAAAGTTTTGCGATTGTTTCTGTATGTATACTTTTATTACAGTTCTTCTCCAAGGACAATGTTTCAGACTAATAATCTGTTAAAATCATCTGCTGAAAACATTTGGTTACCTTTCAGAATAATATACTTGCATTTTCTTCATATTTATATTAATTTATTACACTTCATTTTGTATTAAGAACTTTAATTGACGATAAATGATCTTATAAATAAGTTTAACATGTATGACGGGTATATTAGACATCGTGGGGCGTACCCCAGGCGTAAGGCGTACCTTAAACTGTGGGATACTTATACATGGAAATTTATAATATTTTTGACTTTGATTTTTTTAACACGCTCCCAGTATATCTTTTAAAGGCCAAAACCAACCCCGTAAGTCAATCGGAATTTGTGTGAAATAGTGTTGGTTTTGTCTTTTACTTCACATTCATTTCACATTATATACATAT